GGGTGGAGGTGTGTGTGTGTTAAGACGAACTACTGGTGAAGGATAGTCAGAAGAAGACAAATGCTGCAGGAGATGGGGGAAAGCTGCCTCACACCAACACGGGGTTGAAGCTGTTGGATCTTGTTGTTGTACGCAGGAAGGCAGCGGTCTGTCCGTTTGTCGTCTGTCTGGTAGCGGGCCAGGGTGATTTTCAGCAGCTTGAGAGGTCACCGAGGGAGGGGAGAAGGCACGTTTATACACCTCACGCACGTACACTGACACACACCAGGATGTTAGTTAGTTGGGTTTCGGTTGTTGTACGGACAGGGGTCCGGGAGGGGACGAGATCCCCCTCTGGTGCATCCCACCCCCCGCTAGTCCCCACCTCCCGTGTCACACATATACACACATACACACATATACACACATATACACACATATACACACATATACACACATATACACACATATACACACATATACACACACATACACACTATACACACACATACACACATGCACACACACGCCCTTTTTTCCCCTCCCCCAGGTCGCATGTTCAAGTTAATCAAGAGTGCCCGGGGCCTCCGAACGCTGTTCAACACGCTCATCAGCTCCGCACCGGCCATGTGCAAAGTGGGCTCGCTGCTCTTCCTGCTCATGTTCATATATGCCGTACTGGGGATGAATCTCTTTGGAGGGTACGGCAGTCCGTTTGACGATTACGGCGATACCAACTTTAACAGCTTTGGGTCCTCGCTCATTGCGCTGTTCCAGGTGGGCTATGTGGGGGGCCGTATGTACGTATGTATGTATGTATTAATGTGGTGTGGTGGGGGTTGAAGCAAACAATTTTTATTAGTACGAGTATGTCGTACAACATACGCGTGCGGGCCCCGCTGTGTCCCTGTCCCCATTCCGTACGAACGACTGATCCCAACGGTCATGCTGCCTCCACCCTTACTGTCGTACATTTGTGTGTGGCATGTTGTGCCGTACTGTACGGGCAGGTGTTCACTGCGGATGGTTGGAGTGCCGTGATGGCCCAAGCGGCGGGATGCGATCCCTTGGGTTTCCAGTGCCGTACAGGGGGCCAGGCACTGGTGGCGTGCCTTTTCTTCTGCAGGTGGGTGGTAGGAGTGGTTGAGGTGGTTGGGAGCGTTGGCTCGGATTCAACAACCAGAAACTGCCAACCACATCTACCAACCCACAGCGGACGATGCACCGGGACTCCAAACACGCTAAAACTCTACAGCGATCTCGGTGGCGGTGCGGGGCTTCCAGTGTTACAGGCGAATGCAGTACGTCATCATACAACAGCTGTCGGTGTTCAATTGCATTTTGTTTTGTCCTTCGCCCCACCTCCTTTGCCCTTCTGCTATCCTTTCNTCTCCTCGCCCCGCCCCAC